TTGCCACATATCATATCTAGCCTTAGCTTTACCTTGCAAAGAGATGTATTCAAGTTGTTTTGATTTGACACTATATCACACAGAAATTCTGTATTCCTACAGAAATCTTCTTTCAATAATTCACATTGCTGATCCCATTCTTCACAAAATTTAATTATCTGTTCTGGCAGAGATAAAATTTTGGCTAACACCCGTCCTTGCGATAGCCAACGCACTTTAGAATAACAGGACAAATCCACCCTGAATACCTCATCCTTCAACTTTAGCATGTTACGAAACTGACAATGTCATGTTGCATTTGCATGAATATAGTTAACAATACTTATAACTTGTTGCAAAGTGTCACTTAAAATAGTAGGTTTACCACAGAGATTTTGTTGATGCAAGATACAATGAACAGAAATGAGAGCATCTGGATCTGTTAATACTTTTTAAAATCTGTGTCATAAACCCTTCATGTTTTCTTGTCATGGAAGGTGTACTGTCTGTATATACACTCACTAAATTTACCAAATTCAGTCCAACATTTATCTTGAAAGTTGTTAAAAATATGTATTCCCTGTGTACTGTCTGCAAGAATGCCCAAAGTGAATAACTCTTCATAGCAAAAAAAATCTTGCTGTGACTCAAATGAAGTATAAAACTTGCACTAAGTCAGTAGTATCAGTTGATTATCCAAAGAGATTGAATAATATATATTTTTCTTTTGAAGTATCGCATGAAGTTCTGTTAAGTTGAAGGCTAACTCAGGCTGCCGATCAGCTATGGTTCTCCTTGAAAGAGGCAGTTGTTTGTACTTTGAAACATTTTCAGGGACTAAGCATCCTACAACTTTGACAATGCATTCTTTTACAATTTCTACATCACTTGAATGGATTCTTCTCTTTTTTCCCCAAGTATAGAGGTTGCTTCAGTGACATTATTTCCTAGTCTCATTACGACTTGAAAGAATTGTCTTTGCTTTTCATCTTTTATTTTCTGTGATACAACATTTTGCCCCTCTCCCTCTAATTTAAAATATCTGTGGTCCTTGTGAGTGTTATAATGTTGATGAACATTGAATTTCTTTAATATTGATATTGCAGTATCATAAAGCAAGCAAATCATCCTATCTTTAGCAGAAAGAAGATAATATTGCAATTCCCAAACCTCATTAAAAAATGTTTTCTTCCTTCAGCGTTCTCTTGGTCGTCTTTGACATGATGGGCTATTGAGCAGACAGAATTAAAAAATACTGTCTAACTGTGCAACTATTCATAAATTCCACTTCAAACAGAAACACCAGGGCACTGTTGCCAAAAGCTGATAACAGAATGGCATACTCACCCCCATAAACTTTCACCAACCAGCCTTCTGTGGTAGTGGTGCCAGTCAGGCAGGGGAAATTAGAACTAAATCACCAATGTAGCAGCCGTCAATTTAGCCCTTATGGCTTGCTAATGTTCTAATTGTGCTGGTCAATCTGGGAGGGTTATTTCCTTTACATTTATTTTATTGTTTGGTATTTTAAATATGTTCATTTTACAAATAAAAATATAAAAGATGAACAAAAGTATATTGATAAAAATAAAAGGATTTGTTCTGTCAAATTTGGATTCAGTCAAAAGACTACATTCAAGGACCTAGAAGGTCACATGTGGACTTTCGGCTGCAGGTTCCCCACCCCTGGTTAAGGACTTTCCATGGACTGTGATAACTACCAATTTTCATTAACTATTTTTATTCACATCAATAAATAAAAGGAAAAATTGTTTCAATGTTTCTCTGTTGAAGAAAAGGTCTCTTTATTATAGTAGGATACTTGTCCAAAGATACTTATTATTTTGTTCAAAGTGAGCATTAGAAATCACAGGCTGAAAAAGCTAAACAAAACCTGTGTAAAAAGGCCCTAAGTAAGCACAGTATGCACGATTATGTAACAGTTTATGGCCTACGGAGCAAAAGAGGAACTCGGTGATATCATTCTGTCCCTCTCAAGAGAATTGAGGTATATTCTTCTTTATTTTTTACTCCAATCATTTTACCTCCACTTTGCTTTATTTGAAAAGATACTCAGGAAATTGTCTATATAAAATTTCAACCCAAACTGATTCTAATATTTTTTTATCCATGCATTAGTAC